CTGCGTTGTTGTAGCCATAAGAAATATGGAAAGACAAAGACTCTTTGTAAAGTGAAGGATAAAACAAGCTACAAGGAAACATCTATACTCGAAAATACAATCAACAGAGGTAGGGTACTGAAATCGCTGGTTCTTGTTTGATTATCTCATAGTTCAGTTGACTGTCGAAATGTAGGTGGAGAAAAAATAGCGTGCGTCAGAATGAGTTAACAGTAAACTTACAGATCACTCCTGTCATTCGTACCTCAACTTTGATGTAATATTTAAATTGTTATGGAAAATCAATGTTTTTCTTAAGTAACTATAATTTTTCTTTCACGCCTGACAAAAGTAGTATATCGCACGGTTTTATGTTCATTTTAGTCTCAACAAATGGTTATGAATGCGATATACCATGTTCTTTGCGTGCAAATGTTGGGCATCAGCTTGAACCAACCCTGATTTTACGCTAGACAACGTTTGATGTGAAAATTGGAAGGAGAGCTGTACAAATTAAAATATGGTACACCTTTTTACTTGGAACTCGAGACTAATTAGACTGTATGCAGGAGAAGTCAAATGATTCAGAAGGAACTGCCAAAGTTGTTCTGTCAAATCCAAAGAAGTCAACAAGGAAGTCATTACATATTCCTATGGATGAAACGGCACAAGTTTGCGGAGTCAAACAAAAGGTTAACCCAAAGTTCTCAAGGAGTGAACAGACTTATATTTTTTTCTTATTGCTGATTCCGCGATGTGTCCAGCTATCGGGATGAAACTACTCTAAGACTGAGAAATAGTATTGTCGCACTCGTAAATAAAAAGGATTATGAAGCTGAAGCGTCAAACGACATCAATTTCTCTGTTTTCATGATATTAAAAGGAATGGAGTGGATTACAAATGAATCTAACTCTGTCACTTGTATTAATTACCGGATTTATTTCTCTCGCGTGGACATGTTGATGGTAACCTGCTGACCGCTAGTGACAGTTGGAGATTACAAGTATGGTGTGTTGCTCATATGCACATAAGTTGCCTAGATCACTCCAAAGTACTCTATGGGACTGATTATTAGGGAGGAAATCGATGAACATGAGTGGTTGACAGGTCAAATGCCCACATGATTATTACACAGTCATACTAAAAGCTGCGCACATTTTTCGTGCCTTAAGGTAACCCTCGTGCTATTGATAGAAGAAACCAAACAAGTAATGAATATGTCTTTATTTCGATCTTCGCGCAGTCACAGTGGAGCGTGGTATTATTTGTTCAGACAAACAAAGCCTCTCAACACTCAATATAAGATAATAGGAAATATAACGCCTATGCAAAATAAGGAAGTGAATGAATACTTGACCTGTACTGTTTTGGCATATGCTTGGTTGTTTGAAGTCTGCTCTTAACCAACCAACTTATGCTGTTACACATTCACTCTATGTCGTCAGCTCGCAACTTCAAGCAGGTTAATAAACATTTTAAACGTTTAACTATTCTTCGTATTATCACTTAGTTATCTTTCTGACAATCACGTTTCTCAGACTATAATGTGTGTGAGTAGTTACTGTAGTGGCCGGCTTTATGTCGAGCCCACGTACGTTATTCTAGTATTTGGACAGACCAATTTATCTATTCTTCCCGAGTCACTTTTGACCTTGTTAACTATTCCCCTCTATTCGATTTGGCTATAAATATTGGGTACCGCTTGAATAAAGTGGGTTGGCTCACTTGCTTTCTCCACTGTGTGTCATTTAGTTTCTCTTCTATTTATTCTCCTCTTTCTCTTTGCTCCGTCCCTCTGTCTGGTCTGATCAGCGACTGTGTGAAATATACGCATTCAAACTTCATCGTCGAATTTCGTTATTCATCTATGCAACTTAAGTCGATAATTATATAAGAGGATTGACGATAGGTATAAGTCAATAATCACTCTATCGAAATCGCGTTAGATATCGAGTCACTAAAATATAAAGTAACACACATCACTATTGACTAATGAAACACGAATATAATGATAACTATCAAAAGCCATTTATACCTTGATGTACGTAAAGGTAAGATTTTATTATTGGACACTATAAAGCACCCATCTTACCATTTTCAGATGATTGGAAAGGTTATTTCGGTACTACTATGTATGGTGCCCGATTTGGCTCTTCATTTAGGACTCCACGGCAGATGAAAAGCGCTGTTTCATAGGGTTTATCCGTAGAACTCAAGTATCGTTATTCCTAATGTGCTAAAAGGCACTTCTCGTATTTTCTTTAGACCACATCCCTTGCTAAGTTCCCTTCATTCGAGAGATAGCCTTACTGGATACTTCTTTCAGAATTAAACCTAAAAGTATACCTTATACTGAAGAATTCCAGAAAAGTTTGCTGGATGGAACGTTGGAATCATTTAACTTTCACTCGCTGAGGTTATTTCAAATACAATTCTCACATATAGTGATATATTTTGAAACGGTTTTAACGGATTTCACGATGGATCATACTGCATTTGGTTCTCTTCTTCCTCACGGATTACCAACTAGTTTTTCCAGTCTTTAAAGGAGGAGGTATCGCACAAAGGTAGAACAGGAAGGGGCATGCACAAAAACACTTTCTAGCACTTTTTTTGTAAATGTCTGTAAACTATAAAATTTTCTCATACAGAAGATAGTGTGCGAGAATTAAATCTTCCCCGTTTAATATTTTGTTGATTTGACTTCTACTCGGACGAGCTGATAAACCATGAATACAAATCTCTAATTATGTTTAATACACCCAGGCTAACCCCGTAGGTCCGACGACGGTAATAGAAAGCCAAATGCGAATTAAGTTTGATTGGCTCGTTTCATGTAATAGTTTACTTAGACATCGGGATGAGATGTAAGTAGATCAAAGCGAAGCGGGGGCAGGTGAACGTGTCCAATCCCTCTCACAACTCGTTGCAATCGTGACTATGAATTGAACTAGACTGTATATATTGCGATAAAGAGGCAGGAAAATAAACCAATAATGATAAATAAAATAATGAGTGACAAGCCTAAACACTAGTACATACTAGGCGTATAAGCGCCGAAACTCAAGGACATGAATATAACACATGTATGTTCACTGAAAGCCACGACATTCCATGGAACTGATGGTTATTAGCTGGGATGGCTGAGACACTGCCTGAACAAAAGTGACAAGTCAATGCAGTGTTCACTTAATCCCCTCCATTCTGTGTTATGGTATATCCGATCCGCTTATTCGCTCCGCTCATTAAACGTAGTGGTTAGAAAAAGTATCTCATCCATGCAAGCTGTTGAGATTGTAGTAAGTAGCTCGGGGTGATTTGGATTGAAATGTGAGAGTCATGAGGTGAAAATGCCTAGACCTTTTCTCCTGTTACACTGTAAGACGCGAGGTGACTCTGCACTGGAATTCCGTACCTTTAGTGGTGATATGAGTGTTAAAAAATCTTGCATTTTCACCGTGGTGCCCACAGCGAGAAGTTTTAAAAAGCATGAGCGCATAAACTCATGGTGGGATTCCGTCTTTCGGATTGAGTGGTCACTGGCTAGCACGCTCTACACGAACAAGTGATGTTCATTCCATCAGTGAAAAAGTTTAGGGAGAAGGTGAATCTCCAGTGTAAAACGTTTATGGACAGGTGGGAACATGCTGTTCTAGTTTTTGATATGGGATGTTATGATAATCAGAAGTATTCGAAATAACGTATTTACTAAGAATCTCTAAATATGGTGAGATTTAAGGCAGGTAAAACTAGATGATTACAAATGGACATGTTATACTTGGAATTCGTAATCAGCTTGCAGTCAATCGCATAGTAATCGTTACCACAAATACTTTGGATAAACTGAAACTGAAACGGATTAACACAGGTCAACCAGTTTACTGTTCTTATTGATTGTAGCAGCCAAATGAATAAACTCACTGCGTCAGATGTTACTGAGATAATGAAACTACTTTTACTAGCTTGATTTTAAGTCGTGAGCTGGGAGAAATCAATCAGGTAACATCGCTTCATAAACAAAGCATTGGAAACATCGGGGGCGGTCAAGTTAATTTTGCGACGTGACCTTTGGTTTAGTATGATTTTAGCTTTTCTTCGTTCACAGTTGGATGTCCCATTGTATTGCTTATGGCTCATTGCTGTGGCTTTTCTATGTGATTTGAACACCGTCTGTGGTGCTAACTTAGATGATGATTTTGCAGAGTTTGAGGATCCTGATGATTGTAAGTGCTCGATGACTAGCAAACCAGTTCAATAACAATCGTCATTGAACTGGTTTGCAAGTAGTCTATGATAATTCGTTTTGTGACTGGAATTTTGGCTGCCGTTTATTTTTAGTCCGTTGACAATTCTTGACCATACAGATGACAAAAGTATTTTGTTACATGAAAAATGTTTGACGGTCATATTGCCATTAAAGTCAAAAGTAATCGATTTCGATCATAAATACCTGCCTTCAATTTTCTTATTTTAAACCACTGGAATGATGTAAGACGGCGACGCTTTAACAAATCACCGAGTTTTATGGTAGCTAACGTTCATTGTTATACCTTGTACAATATGGAAATTTCTACATCCACTTAATATCCACCAGTTCTTTGTTATGCCAAACGTTTTGTATGTCTTTGTGGGATGACTCCTCTCACACATTTTCGGACAAAAAGCAGATACTCCAGTTTTAATCTAAAGAGATAATTTATAAGTAAACTTTACTGGCAACTGCCTGAGTAATGATTATATATTAACTGGATTATACAACCCATCACATTCCTCAAAATAACAGTTCCAAAAGTTTTATTTGTTGCAGGCAGGTAAAATGCTCTGGTTTTTTGTAGAGAACTGACTCAAGAGGATCCCCACCAACTTAACGGACTACACACATTGAAATCCCCTCATTCAACGCTATCTTATTAGCCATGTTTTCAAGCTGTTAGTGATGAGTCACAAGCACTAGACAGTAAATCGAAATTGCAAGAAAAATGTTGGCTTTAACTGGTAAAGTATTTTGTTTATTGTTTTAGAATACCTCTGCTAGCCTACTTGTCATGATGTCAAAGGAATGACAACCTAAACGTGGCATCCATCTATAAATTTATTGGTAGTTGCACTGCGCCATGTTCGCCGGTTTTGATTACCTGATTTGGGTTTGAGTAATTATCATAATCAGTGTTTAGACATGACTCAGAATCGTTCTCAGTAGACCGGGTGCATCGGAAACTTTAAGAGAGCTGTTTCATCCGGATCTGAAGTGTTCATTCCAGTTTTTCTTGAAGATATTTATGTTTAATCTGACGAGAAAAAATCGCCGATTAATTAAAAATAATAAAGTGGGGCTGTGGAATTGATAAAGGGTGTTGTACTCGAACTATTTCATGATTAAGTTGGTTGTACTCATTCATAAGATAAATTTATTTGACTTTACCTAGGTTAGTGTAAATTATTTTCGTAGCTTGTATTATTGTGTAGTTACCTTAGATAGTACAGACAAGCAAATATTATATAAACTTAACAATTCTCAAGTTTGCAGTACAAAAAATGGATTTCGATTTAGTGGTTACTGCGTCACCTAATTATTAATAATGGCTCAACTTGTCTCTACGTAAATCTTCGTTGTTTTTGTACCGGGAAATTGAGGGTTTATGAACATTATCACTGGACTTCATAAACTACAAACGAAAAAGATGAAACTATTCAACTGGATTGATAGCGTACATTGGTTTTCTAAGATTCATGCAAAATAATGAGGTTATTGTCATTATTTTCTATTAATGTCCTAATTTCCTGAACATTGTAGCTTTTACTGCTGATATCACAGAATCTGTTCCTGTCCAATCGGCCCGTCAGCACAAAGCTGAGAATGTCGATAAAAATATCTCAGAAAATAGTTTCTCTCTAAACACTGGGATCGATCGTGATGGCGAAGCAGTCTTTCACACAACTAAATCACCAACTGATGGAGCAACCGTAGAGGATAGCGAATTAGAGGAAGAGGTATGCCTAGTAAATGTAAAATGGGAAACATTTCACTGAAATCGAATGTAAAATACCATTTTTTTATGGTCCTTACCTTAAACCTGCACAACCATTTAATTTGCATTCATTTTGTCACGTTTGACATAGCTAGTCACTGAAATGAGTGTCATTCAATATATCCATTATTTAGTTTACTGGTTCTAGCCGTTATCACAAATTTTAGTGTACTAGGAATAATGTAATAACTTCTCATTGGAAATGAGTAATAGATATGTGGAGTTGTGGCTTAGTGGTTGAAGCACCGTTTTACTGACTACGGATTATAAAGTTTTGAGTTGATTCCATGTGTCTTGGGAACAAACGTAAACATCTATCATATTTTTCCCTTATTAGAGATGTCAACGTAAGATATTACACAATTCTTTTTGTCCTCTTGGAAATATATAAATTCAACCTCATTGTGTTCCCATTTGTACAACAAAATGGGGCTGAGGTTAAAGCAGGTACTGACGCTGTGATAGTAGTTTAAGCACTCAATTCACAGGCATTAAATCATGTGTTCCAGTCTGGTTTCATGTCAGCATAGATGACGATACTATACGTGACCTTATACAAGTGCGCCCCTAAATGCCCTGGTACGGTCGAGAGTGGAGAGAGTCAACTCTCCCTCTCGAAATACTCTCACACGGCCACGTGCTTACAACCACCTGCTTCGGTTTGGGCACCCGGGCAGTATCCTAGCCTTCACACAAGTTGAATTATCTATGTGGCGCATATCTATTTGGTGCCCTTTTGTATCTAAGTTTATGTGTTTAAATAAATAATAATAATTATTACGCAAATGTAGCCTAAACCTGGTAAACAAACCTATGATATTATTGAGTTGCATTGTTTTTTTAGACAAGTATTTCTATGATCTTGAAGTTTATTCAGGATAGATTTCCCATTTTCAAACCACAATACTCATCACAATCTGAATGACAGTCAACTATTTAACTTAAGCGACAAGGTTATATTCTGTACTTGCCCCCAAATGCCCTGGTACGGCCGAGAGTGCGGAGAGTCACCTCTGCCTTTCGCAGTGCTCTCATATAGCCACATGCATACAACCACTGCCAGGGAAGTCCTACTCACTGCCTTCTCGTAGCGGAGTGTTGATTACGGAATCGAGAGGACGATAAGCGAATGTCAGGCGCTCTAACCGGGTTGGTGGATATAGAGGATTCACCTAGGGGAGTTGAAAAACCCTGATTCCAAACGAGTGGTGCACATGGGCTCCAGTATCTTGAAGGAACAAACGGTGTATGAACCAATTACTTGTCACGGCTACCATGGGACTGCATCTCCTTACGTTGCTCCACTGCCTTGTTGATCAGACCTTCAGGTCGAAGGCTCCGGATGTGGCCCCCTATGAAAAACACCTGATTCGATCTGGACACTCGGTCAGTATCACAGCCCTCACATATCAAATGAGATCTGTTTGGCGCATATTTATTTGATGCCTCCTTTTACCAATGTTTGTGTTCAAATAAATAAATTCTGTACTTGGTTTGATATGTTTAGCTCTATTATCTACTTGTGATGCCAAAACTTAAGTTACCATTCATGTGACTTTTTATCTTGTTCTGCAAACAGCCTTAAAAACTGAAGTAACATATATGACTCCTAGAATTCACGTATCGTCTAGTCTATGGTCCTCACTAAATCCTGGACTCTAACGCGGGAATAATAAAGCGTGCATATCTGAATGATTTTGCATTTCTCGATACTGTAAATACTGACTCCAATCTTAAATACTATCTAAAAGAAGATTCAAGTTCAACGTACTATTTCTATGTAATATATATTCTTTAAATTTATCATTTGTTTACTTGTATTTTGTTCTCAATAAAAACTATCAATAATGGTTTTATTTGTATTTAAGTCAGAAGACATGAGACTTGACGATGATGAAGAGTTTGAAGGTTTGTCACCCAATCAACCAATTCTAAATACCGATAAAACAAAAAATGGTAAACGAAATCTGATAATTGCAAAGGTATTTTTTATTCTTAATCATTTATCTGAATAATTTTACTTTTAATTTGCTGATTTTCGCTTTCTATATTGTCAGTTTTGCTAACGTCAACCAATACACTTTTCTGTGAGGTTCACCTGTGTTCTCTGTTTCGGATAATCATAAAACACCGAATATGTTCACGTAGTTTGTCGTAAATGTTACATGATCACCTTGTCAGTTCATGTTCTGTTTCATGCACCTCAGTCTTAAGTATCCATTTTATTTTCACTGTTCTACATCTCAGTCTAAAGAGTAAGATTTTGTTGATTGGTACGCAATGGTATAGCATGGTTTTTAGTCGTATATTTTTCACTCTCCAAGTTTTATTTAAAAGCGGATTTTCTGTTTCTCACAATTTCATTTTTATACTATCTTGTTAAATCGGGTCAAATGTTTGTAAATTATTGGCATGATCGTGCTTGTCAAATAAAGACAATTGTCTAAAATCCTTCTGAATTTTACGTGTACAGATATTTACTGTCACTTACAAAACTGCCTGTTATAAATGCATATGGACTTCGGTTGTCTTATAAATACTGTGAGACAGTATACTTTAAGTTCATGTTGCTTTAAAATTTATGATACCCTTGCTAACTGATCCACTTTAAATTATTTATTAACTAACTTCCTAATGCCTTCTTTTACCGTCCGGATGATCTTTGACGAACTGGAAAGCAAAACGTGAAACAAAAGAATATCTGAAAAGCTTAACTTGTATTTATGTCCAAGGATATTTTGAGTAGTGAAAAAGGAGTTGTGATAAGTGTATAGAGACAACTGGAGAAGGTTTTGAGAGATATTAAACTGTTGTACGTTAGACTTTGCCAAATGAATTTTTGTAACCCCACTTCACGTATTTATTATGTTAACATATGTATCATACATCCATACATACATATACCATACATTTGTTTTAATTCAGTATTAAAAGTATTTTTCATACATCTTCATACTTCATTTATTTCTAGGTCCCACATCATCTTACTCGTTCATGGGACAATTTTCATTTGGAAATGCTTTTTGTACTAGCCTTAATGATATATACGTTGAATTTTGTAATCGGACGTTCCAAAAATACACAGTTGGCAAACACTTGGTTTTCTGCTCATCAGCCATTATTAGAAACTAATTTTGCTGTAGTTGGTAAGTTTTTAATTCAATGAAATAACCAGAGTTTATTAGTCATTAAATGTTGGTGGTTATGCATTAATTTTCCTTACAAAAATCATCTATATTAAGCAGTTTACCTCTGAAATATGGGCGAACAGGTGTGACGTGTTAAATTCTTTGTATTATACACACTAGGCTAAATTTATTTTGCTATCGGTGGCTACATTTACACCAGTGAAATACATAAATAAATATAATTCTTGAGATAAAACTATTGTTTGTAAGTATTTTTTCAAGAATTTGACTGCATAGTTTGTAATTCATCATTTTTGCATGAATTAATATTGTTAAGGCTAGTCATGTGTAGGTTATTTGATAGTAGTACAGTATGAATCCCTATTTTATGTATTATTTGTTGTTGATTTTAATAACGGATTAACTTAATGTAGGAAACCGTTAAAAAACCAAAGAGCATTGGGTAATTACTTCCTTCTTAAATGAGACTCTTCCTTCAGCATTTTGCACTCATGACCTTTTTGGAACAAAAGCTGGGACCTTGGGATAATTGAAGCATAAGTTATTAATTTATTGCTGCTCCTATGGATTATACGTTCATTTTTTTAAATTTAAATTTTCTCAATGAGATATTTATATGCTTGAACTTCACTATCTAGGTGACGATGGTCTAGCTGAACCTGGAACTGGGACATTGATGAAGGAATCAGAACATTTATATTCTCTTTGGTGTACCGGAAGTGTGCACTGTGATGCGATGCTAATTGAACTGCGTTTAATCAAGCGTCAATGCTTATTCTTCGCAATTGCCAACTGGATAAGACCGGTTCATGATAGCATTGTAAGTTTTCGTTATTTTGTTTTTCTAACGGTTGATTAACTGTTAGGTTAATTGATTTTTAAGCAGTAGGTCTCAGGTCTAAAGTCCTCTCCACTGGGTAGTGAGTTATATTAAATTAAAATGGTCTGCTAAACTTCATTTATAATGTTAAAACACTGAAATCTGCACTACATTTGGTGCATACTACCTAAAATTAAATCAGATTGATATTTCGACAATAAATCCTCTGCTTGATCTATCATACCTCACATCCATCGATCCTAGAGGTCAAAATGTCACTAATTTTCAACTTGTTGGTAGGAAAGTAGACTTTCTACCTTTCTATACCTTCGTAAAAGTATTAAAAATCAGTTCAGAACTGTATACTTTTGTAGTAATTATTAAGGCTGACGGCTGTAGATGTTCTTACACCATTGTTTGTGGTTTATTACCGTTATAACCCTTGGTACTAGTTTATGTTTGTCATTCTCAATAGATGTTCATAGTCAAAACAAAAATCTTACTCTGTATAAAATGTTTCAGCCGATTCTATCAAATTCAAATGCGAATAGTCATGACAGTTACTTGCAATGAAATTCATGTAAGACCGTTGGAAGGAGTGGATTCGAAGCATTTAACACCAGCTGCATTTAATTATAAACTGAGTTTACAGACTATCATAGTTACATCCAGGGGTTTCATACATATTATATTTATTGACCAAGTAAATCTTAATGTCCACACTACTAAATTATCAAACGAATAGTCGAGTGTTTCTTTGTTTTTCCGATGCTTAACTCCGTAACATCAGGTTAGCAAAAAATTGTATTACAACAAATGTTTAATATAAACACAACTGGTGATTGACACCACACCTTGAAACTTGTGTTCTAATGGATATTAATGTGCAATCTATTATTGCTAAAATTATAATTCATTGTTGTCTTTGAAGTAGGTACGTACTGACTCTTGGATGTTATTTGACTTAAGTTCCTTATTGTAAGTAGGCATGTACAGTTATCTAACTGTACACCGCTGAATTGTTTGTAATTAGAAGAGTCATTCTGTCTCAAGTTGTGATTAGTAACAGAAATATTGCCCAGCAATGTAGTTATCCAGTTCACAGCAACTATATCAAAGGCTAAAATTTTAATAAGGGGTTGTGGAGACTTGGATTTCATTAAAATTATGTACTCATCTAAGCTGGACCTTCATTGGAAACCTTGAAGCGCTGGACGTCCGTTTCTCTCTAGTATCGGATTCGGCACTGCACATCCATGACCCCGTACGTGAGAGTTAAACCCGAGACATTCGGTCTTGGGCGAACGCTTAACCTCTAAATCACTTGACATAAATTGATATGGGCTCAACTTCATACAGTGTACAAAGGATTCAGTCGAATACATAGAGTCGTTATGTGTTTACCTTGATACACTTTCATTATTTTTGTTATCACAGGTAGTGAAAGTAATTATGGACGATTCTGAAATGGATGGTTGGGTCATGGCGGTTGGTCGTAAGCGTCGTCTTCAAGCATTAGCAAAAGATCATCAAGATTTAGCTGTATACTGTCCAGACAAACGTGGACAACGGCATTCATACCTACCAGAATCTTTCATGTTTTTAAATGAGATTCCAGAAGTTATCCCGGCAATTTTCAATCCTCTTGTAAGTCGATCTTATTTTATCTCAGTTAATAATTGTCACTTCGTGTTAAGTTCACAAATAGTAATCATGTAGATATTTCTATCTGATTAACATCTTTGAAGCTTGTTTTTTTATATCTATAAATCAACCCTCTTGTATGTATAGCTACTGAGGGATTTTTTCACGCCTACTGTAATTATTGTCGCTTTCGGGTACATTTTTTATCAACATCAATGTGTTTGCCCTCATATTGATTATTAGAATGAGTTGTAACGAGAATTCCGCTTTTACTGATAATGACGTATTTTCAGAGACACTTATTCATATCACAGCATCGTACATCAGACTGTTTATAAGGAGACTAATTTGACTGTGGTGCCACAGAGTTTGCGTAGATTAATTTGTGTTACTATCCTTTTTACACTCAACCAACACACATACATACTAAGTACTCAGCTAACCGAACTTGTTCACTATCAATGGTGAATGCAGTCATTATTATTCGGAACTAGTAGAAACACTATAAAGTTTGATGATACAAATTGCATGAGTAATAATGATACTTTTCTATAAAACCTCTTTTTGTCGATCACAGTGAATTCAGTACTCATGAATTATTTATTGTGATGAAAAACTGTTTTCATTGTTTGTTATAGGTTTGTAAATTTCTGAATGATTTTGAAGAATCAATCGAATATTTATTTTTCTCCGATCAGTATAGTGGACCGAAACCTCCCCAAGAGTAAGTTCTGGATATCTCATTTAGAATTTCTGTTATTTATTTATCCTTTTGACTTCTATCCTGTTGACCATTTAAAGTGTGATGGAGGTTTCAGCTCAAGTGGATGTTTTTGATGTTAATGAGTTCTCTGGGCTAAATGATTTCGATTGTGGAGTTTTCATTGTTGTTTTGAATAGCATCAATGTTTATTTGATATATAAGTGAGCTTCTTGGTTATTTCACAAATGTTGAGTAAGTTTTTGCTGGTCACTTTGTTTGTGATCAGTTGTTTTCGTAGGTTTCACTGTCTTCATTTGTTGATCTTTCTGTTCCGTTGAACATGCTCCAGATTTATTTTTTCGAGTGGAGTCAGGTCTAATTTAATGTGTCTGTCAATTACTGATTAATCTGAATGTCGTACTTCCAAGAATTCTCTAACTTATTTAGAATCCCTTCGATTCAGAATTTCAATGTTTTCCCAGTCGAATTCATGTCCGTATTCGCGCATAATCGTCTACATATTTCCTGGCATATTAATCCATATTGTTAACATTTTTTATAATGTTATTATTTGTTACCGTCCAATTAGTACCAAACGTTTTTAGAATTCTTTAGTATCCTATTCATAATTTCATGAAGTTGCCTAGCGTCTCATAGCGTATTATTTCTTGTTTACATATGTTCTTTGTTGTATTGTCTGATTATAGACCATACACTCATTCTTACTCACGCATAAAATTGTTGTTTCGTTATATTATTTTTGTATGTAAGAAAGAAACAAGTAGATTTTTGTTTTTATTCTCATGTTGATGAATGTTTACTGTTATTGTTTTCGTTGATACAAACTGAGTATGTTCACACGTTTTTCCCCTATTTCGTGACTGACTGTGAAGCAACGTTTTGACAGTTATTTTATATTTGTTAACATGTAATGGTATTTAAAGCAAACAGTACTAGGTCCGAGTTCCGGAACAAACATCAACTCTGGGATCAAGGTACACCTAACTGACGAGTCTGCAATAGTACGAAACGGGCTTCCTGGGTTCCACCGCTAGCCACTATATATATATATATATATGAGAGAGAGGTTGTAGGTCGATGAGTAACTACATGTCTGTTAGAAACTAATTAGCTGTTACATGGAGCTCAACAATATCATTCTAAATGAGCAAATAGTCATTGAAGGAGGAAATTTACGAAATATGAGAAATTTATAATCAAATTGAGTGTAAAGTGTAACTGTGTGAACCATTTTTACGTTGAAATTAAGATGTGTCATAGGTAATCAAGAAGTCTGGATACAAATAATCTTTGTAATAATAATACGCGTACTGAGTTGGTTAGTTTTAGAAACTTATTTGTCATTTGGGGGAGGCCAAGAGGAAAACAAATTGACCAGCTTTATATTAACATTAACATCTTTATTTCAACTTAATGATGCTCATAGTTACACTCTTCACTTTATTGGATTGTAAATTCCGCATGTTTCATAGATCTTTTCCTTCAACACATGATTGTTTATTTAAAACTGGATAATGAAATTCTAACACACATCTAATTATTTACCGACCTATAATTTATCACATACACATAAGTATGATTATATAACCTTGGAACTGAACTCTTTGAAAGGGGTTTCTTCATCAAATATATCGTTTTACGTGATATGTCCTGATTTTATTTAAATTCATAAAGGGACCTAATTGCATGAAATTTTCGAAAAGTTGCCCCCCCCCCTGTTGATATGTATCAGTTTAATCAGTGGCTGTAACATCCCATACATTCGTATTAGTTATGCGCTCATCTTTTATCAGTCGATTTTCGTTTATCCAGACGTTATAGTTCATTAAAAGTTCACAGTGTTCGACATTTGAAAGTGTCAATGCTTATTTTCTTGTTGATAGAACATCAAATTTCTATTTTCTGCTGATCAAAGTGTACATTTAATAAGGCGTGAATGTTATAATATCGAGGACTAATCGATTCCCATCATGATATACTTTCTTGAATGTTTCTGACTAATAATTTATTTCTTTATTCAAGTAACCCACACTTATAAACTTTAGAAATGTTTATTATTATTATTATTATTATTATTATTATTGTTACGTTCACCGTTCTTCTGGTTATGCATGAATCTCTTCTCCTCACGCATACTCGTCCCCTTCGTCTCTTTTCTCGCTAATATACTTGTAATTTTTCACCAACACTGTCATCATAGATCACGAAAATACTGGTCAATAGAGCCAATTCTGGTTTCAATTTTGTTTTTGTTTTTTTGTTGTTTTGATTAAAAAGATACTCAAACAACTAAGTTTGATTTTAATACTTTATCATCATGGATTATTATTAAATAGTAGTAGTAATTGGCTCTGAATATTGTGTGCTTAATAAAACTTTCTGAGTTCTAATTCACTTGATATTGTTTTACTTGAATCTTCCCATTGATGTTTTAGGACTGAAATTGATCAGTCTCTTATTGGCATATGTGCATACTGTGCGTATGCCTCGATATTGTCTTAATTTACAATCAATGGGAAGATTCAAGTAAAACAATACCAAGTGAATTAAACTTCACCCCATCGCACAAGCAAGTAGCTATCAGTAGCTAAGTGGATAACGCGATGGCGTTTGAAGCGAACGGTACTGAGTTCGAGTCCCTGAGTGAACATCAACACTGAGATGCAGGTACGTCCGGCTGACTAGTCCCAAACAGGAAGAAACGCGCGTCCTGGATTTCACTGCCAGCCACTATCCATCTTTGCTTTCTGAGTTCTGTATTAAAATTCTAAAAATATTTATTACTATTTCAAAACCTATTTGCATAAACACGGAATTATGGTATATTTAGTGTGTTCACTTTATACAGGTAAATTTTAAACGAAGGTTTTTCTACATACTACCAATTTGTACTTTTCACTTATTATGTAATCTTTTCCATTGTTATCATTGACTCATTGACTACCTTGATTAGTTTAATAATTTCGTACATGCATATAAATATTGCTGTATATTAGAGTAAAATCTGATGAGGATCTAATCGAAAACAATATTGTTCGCTTACATATGTTCTAAATTTACAATATGAGAATCCTTCGAAATGATTCTTGTGGTTGTTTTGATGATAGCCCTGGATAGTATTTGAAAATATTTGCACCTCCATTCATGTGGGTTCTTTTTTAACATTTACTTATTTATGTAAGCACATAAACATTCGTATAAAAGGGAACCAAATAAAAATGCGCCACACTTCATTCGATGTATGAGGTCTGGGATACAACATGGGTGCCCAAATTGAAACATGTGTTTTTCTTAGGGGGCCACTACCAGAGTCTTTGACTTACAGGTCTAAACCATAAGTCAGTGGAATAACGTTAGAACGTTCAGTCCCATGGTAGCTGGTAAACAACAATAGGTTCATACACTATTTGTTCCTTCTAGATCCTGAAGCCTATGTGCATCATTGATTTAAAATCAGGGTTTTCCAACCCCCTTAGGTGAACCCTCCGTGTCGACCGACCCGGTTAAAACGCCAGATATTCGCTTTTCGTCCTCTCGATTCCGTAATCAACACCCTGCTACGAGAAGGCAATGAGCAGTACCTCCGTGGCAGTGGCTGTGTACGCGCGGGTATGTATAAGCATTTCGAGAGGGAGAACGGATTCTCGCCACCTTCAGGGCATTCAGAGACAAAGAAAGTATGATATGCATAATTTGTTTAGATATCTCTCATCACGAATAGGTATTAGTTGTGGAATAATCAGAAAGTAGGGGACATTAAAGTTTTTCGTCCTTAGGTAGCATTTTCTGCTGTTCACCAAGATCGAATAGAGAGATAGGTACCTCAGATGGTTTGTAATGATGACCGCAATAAACCCCTAAGTCATTGAAATTTAAAATGTTAATCGTCGACCGCTGATCCATTAGCCTATTAGTTTTAATGTGCATGCTGTGTAACCCAAAATTCCTGAGTTCAATCCATGTGTGGCATCTTGGAGTGTTCATTTCAGAGAAAGCAAAACCTTTCGCCTGTTTCCTATTGTCATTCGGTTGATCATGACATGAACAGCTTTCAACCTAAATGAATGTCCACAAATAACTATTAAAGTTTTTTATAGTCTGAATGAATCCAAAACACATTAATGCGAGTTATACTGTTTGTCTTACCTTACAGAGATACAAATACTCCTGCAAAACCTCCAGTTACACAGAAAGCGCTTATTTTTGCTTTCAGATGTAAGTTTCCTATATACCTTTCATCAAACTTTACCTTGTGTTTTTATGTCAGTAAGTTCTGATAATTATTAAACCTCCTAATTTGTTTGAAAGCTTCACACATTATCTGAATTTAATCCCCGGTGAGGTTGCGAATTTGCTTTGCTGAGGAGTCCCATACTAGGATGAAACAACCATCTAGTATTCCATGATTTGTAGTGGTTGTCTGACTAAGGTCCCTCAAACAAACTGTTGTTATATGACTTATTATTTAGGACATTACTTCATCCACCAAGTTGGTATAATGCATATACACTAAGGTTTTACTGCTGAGTTACAACTCCATCATTTCAAGAATGTAATAACATTTTAAAATGTATACGAATCTGGATTTATGTGCATCCAGCTGTAAAGTTCTCACTTCTAATCAAAATCCATATATCATTTTGAAGCTTGCTATAAAAATTTTCTATTGAGGCAACTAGCTCATGATGCCATATTACCTACAATGACTGATAAGAATTCACTCTTGAATTTCAACAACGGGATAATATTAATCTTTAATAATCTTACGAAACGTGACAATATTGATTGCAAGGTTTATTAATTTCAAGTTCCCAGTTTATGCTAGCTTAACTACTTTGTTTTGAAAATGTTAAATCCCCAGTAGTTTCATGCGACGTTTATTTAGTTTTCACGAATTTTTTAACTAATGATCATACAATATAATCAGTACAAAATTGAATGAAGTTAAACGTGAATCAGTATTTTTTTGTTTCTTCTCACAAGATTTATCTTTTGGAAGTAGCCGGAGCTAGGAGTTAAGGAAGTTGTTTTATCCCTTTTTCGAAGTGTTATCGCAAACATATCACTGTCTAAAATTCTTTGAACTAAAGGGAGTCTAGCCATACTGGTACTAATAGTATTAGGTCACAGAGTTATTTTAGATTAGATAAATCTAAATATACTTATCATTTAGTGAAATTTGAATGTCAGTTTTATTATGGTTGAATAGAATTGTATGCACTATGTTATAAAAAAGGTGTTTTATAGTTAACATAACTGTCATTCTATGTATTATATGATGTGAGAGTAAACAAGATTTCCACTGTTAAAATAAATGGACAGAATGCCGATCAGTAGAAGATATGGATTAGTACGAAGTATTGGCTGAGTAATGGCTACTCACAAGATTGAATTGTTGACTTAAATCCCCTCAACGGAACTATTATCCGAAAAGAAAACAGATGCTTAATAGAATAGACTTTTTTAAATAAAGTAATATGCTTGTGTTAAATATTAACAGAGAAATAAACACGGTTTAATGTCGTAACCTATCGGTCAATATCAGTTTAACAGGTCTCATTCTCCAGTAGATTAAGTTGTAATTCTAGTCTGTCACATCACTTTTCTTAATTGTGTACATATGAACTAAGATATGACTAAGGGTGTTATGTAATCAGTTAATTCCAATCACTATTAGTTATTATCACCGTTTTAATGATCATTTTCACAATAACATTATAGATGTATTGTCTCTGAATACATTTGTTGTATGCGATAAATTATTCAGTCTATTTTGATAATTTTCCTTTTTAAAATAAATGCAGATGTTCCAACAACAACAAAGTCAAAATCTTTCTCAACATCATTTACATCATCAAATAATAATGGTAATGGTAATCTTAATATTCATAATCAACACCACCAACAACCAATCGAATCGGCTACTGCCTTATTCCATTTTATTTTTTATGTGATTGAAAAAGTTCGGCGATTTCGTCTTAGTAAAGAGGTATAATTGTTGGTTAATGATTGTTACTTTTTTGTTATTACGAATAATTTGGTTACATCGGTTTCCAGTAACTTTATGTATAACTGTTATAGATAATGTTATTCTTCAAATTAAATAGCATAAATATGAATATTTTTGGGAAAGACTAGTAGGTCTAGTTAATTGAAGTCGTACATTGTCAAATTTGACGTTCATTGATTCGTTTCATCAACTCTGAAATATACAATCTTGTACAGTCCGTTAGTCATTATCAACTTAGAGTTTGGCACAAATATTCGTTAGCTTAAGTTGTCATTATGCAATTAAGAGATAAAGGTAACAATATGAATCACAAAGCATTCGAAACAATTGTCAATAAATAAAAATAAACGTCGAGAACATGGTTCAAAGGGAAGGAATGAAAGGCATGTGTATATGTAAAGGAGTGTTAAAGTTCAATATCTAGAAGAAGATAATAAGTAAATGCATCTGCTCTATTTCAGCTGATTTAAAACAATATCACTTTACGTTTTCAACCGCTAGTCACAGTTGTTTCATACATTCCAGCCAGGTGGTTTAAATCTGACAACACAACTCCGTGACTTCATGAATGAATCTCATGTCACGATCTTACCATTCCTAGTATTTTTCTGACCTACTCCATCCAACAATGCACTTTGAAAGGATCAGTGATTTGGAAGTGAATATGAAAGTCCTTCAATCAGATTGTATATGTAATTTAATTCGCTTAGATAGTTTCGTTTCTTCCACGTGCTTTTTTCGGTCTATGATATGGTGCTCAGAAATAAAACGATCAAGAACAGTGATTTGAGCAGAGTAACATTAATTTGGTGATATTTCGTTAGGTCTTCGTCAACTGATTACACCCTGTAATATTTCAAAATCATTATTATAAAAAATGGTTGGAATTACAGAAATGAGTTTAGTTGGAAGTTATTTTGAACACATCAGTGTTGTATAGCAAGGAGTTATCTAAGTTTTGTGAGTCAGAATTCCTAGGATTGGCTCTGAATCTAATTCCTAAAGTGGAGAAGTTTGTTATCCAAACAACTGGTCAATCTTTTCAAGAATGCCTCTTCGACGTATTGCATATCATATAAATAAAAAATTTACGTTTAATCTAGGGCAAGGCTAAATCTGAACGAAATAGGCAACGTGCACATGATTCACATCTTAAGTTAATGCACAGTCAACGACAGGAAGCAGCTCAAAATCGTCGTGGTGAACGCCTACGAGCTGCTAAGGAGCGTATAATGGCTGAGGATGATCCTGAGAAAGCTCGAAAGCTTGAGGTAAGTCTATAGTAGCTTATCTGTGTTTGTATTATGAATAGATTTCAATATCACTTATATTTAACATGTATTCTACATAACTATTTCATAGTATTTAGCGTTCCGATGTTTAACGGTAAACATAATAAATTTGAGTGATATTTGAGTTGTAATTTAAGTACCTAATTATTTATTGCAAGTTCCCGTTTGTTTGATGACTAAGGTTGTTCAACATTCGATAAACTATTGTAATCATACTCCCTTTCTTATGAATATCTTGATGTTGATTTGTAAAAATGTACCATACTTATTTTTGTTCAAGTACCGTTTGATAATATTTAAAGACGTCTTAATCGTGGTATTTCATTCCAAAGCAATCTACTTGCAATCTGTAAAAAATTAGCATGATTCACAGTTATACAATCAATTCAATTAATAAGCAGATTGAAGTCATAAAAGGTTTACCAGTTCTAAGGTATATTAGTCTTTTATTCCTTACAAAATACTCCTTATGCTTATCTAATTTCTATGTCCACTGGACAAAATATCCCTGGAAGTTTGCAAGAGTCAAACTCTTCATCCCTCTCATCATTTCACATCACGTCTTCACCTTCATATTACTGCTTCCCTTTTTTGGAGAACAAAAAGATAATGGTTGGTCAATTACAATTCGCGTATTTATTGTATAGATCATTTAGTTATCAGTACAAAGTTGTGCACGTGTATGTTCAATGTGTTCAGTTCATTTCATTTTATAAAAAGTAATTTAAGTTTCCCCTACTCTGTAACATTACGGTAAGTAAACTCCACATTATTGTGTCTACTACTGTCCTAAAAATCTTTTCGCATCAAAAATCCTCCCTATTGTTTTCTGTTCGTGTTTTATCTATTTCAAGGAGAAAGAACAACGTAAAGAAAAATCAAAGAAAATGCCAAAAATGAAAATGCTCAAAATGAAATAATAGCAATAGTAGTATTAGTTGCCGACGTTTACGAAAGATAATATCATCATGCCAGATAAGTGAATAATGTTTAAAAAAAGAAAAAAACAGCTCGAAGTTTGGATGGTACTATTAATCGATATCAATACAAACACCACACCCAAATCAACCTAATATGTAACCCAACTGAAAAATTTTGTCCGGCTAGTCGTTGTTGTTTTTTTTTATTATATTTTAGTGTTCCTTCCATTTATCAACAAAACCCACCACCACCATTGTCTTTTTATCCTTCTGTTCTAAAAAATTCATCTCATTCGTTTTTTTTGTTTGTTAGATAATAGTCACCTCATCACGCACATATACACACATACCAAATATATATGTTTCCTCTACACAGAAATTTAAAAAAAGATTATAATAATTACAGTATTCTTTTGTAATAGTTTGCATGATTTCCTCTTCTATACCATAAATTGGTACGTTCGTGTGTTTGATATTGACTATGAAGTATAAAGTTCATTGGTGCGTACAAATAATAACTATCCTCCTATATTCTTTATATTATTTTTTTTTCACTCTATCCTATCCTTGTGCTTTAAGCGCAAGATATATATATATATATATATATATATATATATATATATATTTTTTTTTCTTTATTAATTCTCAGTATTTAATCAACTTCTGTGTACATATATACATATTATTTAGATACATGGTGTATTTTGTGCTGTACAAAGAGGTGTAATTTAATAGTTAATTGTCTTATTCTCTTCATTCCTACACAATCTATTCAATTTGTGTGCATCTACTTATCGATATCGTATCGTACTGGGTTTTCTACATTTTTCATATACATCTGTATATGTGTTATTTTTTCGAATTGATAGTAGTATTCATAGTAGTGGTAATATTTTTTAGTATTATAATAAATAAATTCACATATTTTGTACCTACCGAGTTCATTACCAATTTTCTTCTCATATTATATTCTTGTTTGATTAGTTGGTTTCTAATTTGTTTTATCGTTTTCAAAAAGTATATTTTCTTTACCCAACCAATTCTAACATCAGTTAGATGTGATCAGTGTATTTATCATTTTAACAATAACATAGACTGGTCATTGTTGAGGACACACTGTGTGATAGGGTTTACTTACTTACTTACGCCTGTTACTCCTCGTGAAGAAGCATAGCATAGGCCGCTCACCAGAATTCTCCATCCAAACCTGTCCTGGGCAATCCTTTCCATATCTGCTTCTATTTCCCGACGTAATGTGTTCCTCGGTCTTCCTCTTTCCCGTTTCCCTTCAGGATTCCAAGTTAGGGCTTGCCTCATGATGCAGTTTGACGATTTGCGTAATGTATGTCCTATCCATTTCCATCGTCTTTTCCGAATTTCCTCTTCAGCTGGAAGCTGATTTGTTCTCTCCCACAAAAGGCTGTTGCTGACGGTATCCGGCCAATGGATGTTGAGTATCTTGCATAGACAACTATTTATAAATACTTGTACCCTCTTGATGATGGTTGCAGTAGTTCTCCAAGTTTCAGCTCCGTACAGTAGAACTGCCTTGACGTTGGTATCGAAGATTCTGACTTTGATATTGGTTGAAAGTTGTTTTGAGTTCCACATGTCCTTCAATTGTAGGGATGCTGTCCTTTCTTTGCCAATCCTCGCCTTTACGTCTGCATCTGAACCTCCTTGTTCATCGATGATGCTTCCCATGTATGTGAAGGATTCTACGTCTTCCAGAGTTTCACGATCAAGAGTGATTGGATTGCTGTTCTCCGTTTCGAATTTGAGGACCTTGGTTTTCCCCTTGTGTATGTTGAGGTCTACTGATGCAGAGACTGCTGGTGATAACGTTTAGTTAATAAAAACGAAAATTTTGTACAAAAGAAGTTATAAATTAATGTTTTGACAATTCGATATTCACAACAGTTTCATTAATTTAGTCTAGTGATTATTTACCAATTGGCCACATCGTATCATTACGTATCACCTACTGATCAGGATTTCATTCATTCTTTTATTAGCCAGAACTATTTTAAATATCAAATAGGATTCACTAGAAATGATTTGCAGTTTCCTATTGTTGCGATTCAAGAATGCAATTAATTCATATCTGTCGCAACACGTACACCATAAGGGGATTGTTTCGAAATGACCTCCTGGATCCCACTGCTAGCTACAATATAAATATCGGATCTATTTTGTGGACTTAATTCATCGTTTTTATTTGTTATGGTTGGTTGTTGAGAAGACTTCAAATGCATTTATTATGTTTTGAAAAGGAGTTGAATAATAAATGCAGATTTTCTACATGGAGGAGAGTTAGGATCTCTGATATTATGGATTGATGTATGTGTGTTCCGAAATCCTATTCAACGAAGGGAAGCGTTTACATATTTACTTATTTACTAGTTTTTTGCATATGAAGTCTGTTATGTCAAAAATAGATTCGTCACATAAACTCTGGTTGGTACCTATTTGCTTCTAGTTAATCACTAAACTGTGCGAACAGTTATATAACTTCTGCATAAAATCGGATCCCCACGTGACCATAAAGTTTTAAGAATTCCCATGTGTATTAGAACAATATTGTTTTCGATCAGATCCTTATTCGACTTTACTCCAGTATACAGTAATGTTTGTACGCATACACGAAATTATTGGTGAAACTATAAATTGTGGACGACCTTTGAGCGACGCCTTAGTGACCTTGGGAATGTCCACCTACTTACTAGGGCTAAATAACGGTTATAAACCAATGTGAGGAATTAGAATTATGATTTACGTTTGATACTTAGGGTTGGGAATTAGATTAAGGGTTTTCATCACAAGCTGACAGCTATAATCCCAAAACTCTATTTAGCCAAATCGATAGGTGAATTTCGTGCAAAAATCTGAGACCTGTTATCTTATACGTAAATTATAGTCTCACCAAATTGTTAAAGTAATCAAGGCGTTTTATATGTCTGATAAAAGTGGGATAGATTCTAAACATAAGTAAAAAGCACAAATTAATAGTGTGATGATAGGTGTACTAGTTGTGATAGCAATCAATGTTTCATAATACGAAATACGTCAATAACATGAAAAACACACTGAAATAATAATTTTAATAGTTGAATTCATGAGTCAATTTAAGCTAGATCACCGTGAAAAACGTGGAAGGACCAGGTGGCTGTTTCGTCCTATCACGTAACTCTAAAGCAGTGCGCATCCACGCTCCCGCACGTCGGACCCGAACCCTGAAACACCGATCTGACGTGAGAACGCTTAACCTCTTGACTGTTGAGCCGGAATCCAACCGTGTTAATGTATAACTTCGGTCGATCCATGAAATAACACTCAAAAAATTATGAGATAACGCAATATGAAATGTTAATATGGTACACCTATAATTAGATTATTACCTGTACAGGGGCTCTGGAGATTATTAAGTTTTTGATTGAGATCATGAACTGGTTGATGTTAGACCAGCGTTGGAAACCTGGAAGCACACGGGACTTGAACCCAGGATTTTCGATATTGTACATGAACGCCTAACTTCTAGACCACTGAGCCATCATCCAACGTGGTAATGTTTAACTTCAATCGATTCACGATATTATGTGATCATCTTCCATTGTCTTCTATGGTTGCGCACTCCTGAGGTGTCCAATAGTAGGATGAAATAGCCATCCAGTGCTACCAGGTTTTCAATAATGTTCTAAAATTAATCGGTTTATGATCTCAATCCAAAACTGGCTATCTCTGCAACACTATACCAATCATTTACAAACATCATAAGAATTTTCTGTATGCTCAGTCTATTAAGATGGTTGTTTGTCAGTACAATGTGAGTTATTATGGAAGGAACATTACAAAATTTATGGCATAAACTCAGTTCAATCAGTTTTAGAATTTCTCATCAACTAGAAAGCTCCTTAGTATATTGTTGACTAATATACTGACATGCTTTTGGTTAATTTGACTAAACTGAGAGTTTAAAACAAAACAGTGAATTAAGAGAATACAACAACAAACAATAAAATCATACATTTCAATGTAGATTGTTATATACTACTGTTGAACGTTTTAAACTATGAAGGAAATGAGATCGTAAGTAACAGTAATTTGTTAATAAAATGACTTAGTTCTTGCATATGGGCATCATTACCAAGGTTTAACTTGATAATTTCGAATAAATTGAGCATTGGGTAGATTATCATAAATAAATAAATATGGTTGTAATATCCCAATGAGTAGAAAAATTAGATTTTTCTGACGTTTCGCGACATAATGTAAGCCACTTCATCAGAGAATAAATAAATAACCAGATCAAATTCCAACCAAGTTTAAATAGTAAAGAAGAACAGCGACACAGTGCACGCATGCACACCCACACAAACGTACATAAATGTCGCTTATAAATCACCTTGACTGAAATGACATAACATTGAATTGTTCAGACCTGTTTTTTGAGTGATTGCATATAATACGCTTACGTTGTTTCTTTTTACTATTTAAACTGGGATTAAGTTTGATTTGATTATTTATTCGCTGAAGAAAGAAGCTTACACTAAGTCATGAAACACCAGAAATTTCTTGTTACTTATGTCAATCAACATTGTTTATATGTTAATATTTTATGATAGTATACTAAATGAATAATAATAATAATAAGATAACTTATTTACCGATTTACTACCAACTTAACACTTTAGCTGAATCCAAAAGATGATAAAATTGGCTAAGCGATAGGTGCACATGATTGACCAAATAATATCAGAAGGGGTTTTGTGAAGATTTTAGAAATTTCACTGGTTGAAATCATGAGTCAATTGAAGCTAGACCACCATAGAAAACCTGGAAGCACTGGACGGCCGTTTCGCCCCAGCGCGGGACTCTTCAGCAGTGCGCACCCACGACCCCACACCCCGCGAGGTTCGAACCCAGGACCTACCAGTCTCTTGCCAGGCTCCTAACCAACTAAACCACTAAGCCGGTGTCCAATGGTGTTAATGTCTAACTTCAACCAATCTACGAAATTGTGCCACCGTACACCATTGTCTTCAGTGAGTTGATATCTCACAACAGACCTGGTTGAACTCCACCGGTAACGGTTTCTCACTAGAACTCCAGGAGTGCCTCTTGTAGTCAGTCAATAGTGAGCAGATGATTATTATCAGATGGGGTTTTGTGGAGATTTTAATAATTTCACTGGTTGAAATCATGAGTCAATTGAATCTAGACCACCATGGAAAGCCAAGAAAGACCAAGAAATAGCCTGCACTTCTGAGGGATGAAGTATACACCATTAATGACTTATTGTTCTAAGAAATATATATTCAATTTAGCTAAAAAAAATTCCTTCTCACTATCAGCTTTACACTGAAGGAACCAGTTAGGCTCGCGTACGAGACGGTTGAGTATCAGGATCAAAATCAGACATTCCACGTCATAACACCTATCAAATACATGTTTATGTGCTCTACTCTGTGCGTCACTTGTTTACATATGACAAATGGATGACATGATTTGGATGTGTATACTGAGGTAGGAGAAGATAGATTCTAATCCATGACTTACTGGTTAGAAGATGAGCATTTCAAATGATGACACTACAAGATAGCCACACATTAAGTAATAATGTTCAT